TGTTTGTGGTGGGGGGGGGGGGTGTTTGGTATTTTTGGTTAAACCACCTGGCAACCCTATTCTCCTTCCCCCCAATCAAAAAAAAATTAGTAATTGACTAAAGAAAACACTGCATTTGGATCAGAAGCTTGTTTTATCCCTATTAAAAGTGGGCAGATTTAGGCACAATAAAGAACTACATTAAAGTGACATTCAGCTGCAGTTATTATGCTTTTATCTACTACATTAAATGCTATGTGTGCCCCAGAACATAAAGAGGGACAAGGCATGTTCTCTGTGTCATGCCAAGAGGCAAAGTGAATGTGTGGAATGTCAAAAAGCTACACCTTTCACTGGGGGAGTGATCTGGGATATTCACTATACACTCCTGCCACAAACACAATTAGTAGTGTAAAAATAATCCACTTGGGCCATTGTGGTGTACTGAGAATCTCAAAACACTTTTCTAGTTTTCCAACACAATGGCATATATAGTGGAGTCCGGATTATCTGTTACCCCATAATCCGACACTCCGCTTTATCCGACCCTGCATTTCCCAGGGACTTTGACCCCGGGAGCTGCAGGGTCGGATACAGCATGGGCCAGGAGAACAGCCCTGCTAGCTGCCCCTTCGCTCCAAGAGAGCCTCACTTTACAGATGAGGAATTGAGGCATGACAAGGCTTCTGTGACTTTTTTAAGAACTAAAAAACATTCAGTGGCAAAGGAAGGAATATATCTCATGTATCTTAACATCCAGTTCTGAGCTTTACCTTCCATGATCCTTTCCCATATGTCTAGAAACACATTAGTTTGTAGTTTGTTGCATTACTTTTGATTAAATATATCAATCCAAAAAATCAAAGGTGTTAACATGATCCTGTTACTATCCAATGTAAAAGGGTGTTTGGGATGTAGTATACAGAGACGTTAGCCTGCTTTGTGCCATGGCAAATACACCACAAATTATAGTTAACCTTTTATTAAATATACTAGCAGATTTACCCAGCATTGCCCAAGTCCTTCAGGACAGGGCCTTAGGGATCTGGTGGGGGAGTGCAGGAGGCTGGAGTCCGGGGGCCTGCTCTCTTCCCCCAGACTGTTCCCCGCCCCCCGAGACCACACAGGACCTGTTCTTGCACCCCAAACCACCTCCCAGCCCACCTGGGGGTTTGTTCTTTCCCTCCCCCTCAGGTCACTCCTCCAGCCTGCCCAAGACCTGTTCTTTCCCCTCCCTCAGGCCACCTCCACAGCCTGCCTGGTACATGCCTCTCGCCCCTGCCCCCTCCTGCAACAACCTCCTGAGCCCACCTGCGACCTCTTCTCTCCCTCTAGACCACCTCCCAACACCTGTTCTCTCTCCCCCCAGGCCATCCCCCAGCCTCCATGGTCCTGTTCTCCCCCCCTCCAGCACTGTGGCCAAGGGCAGGAAGCGGGAGAAAGGGTTTGAAGCAGGAGGGTTATTCATTTGGTGTGCTGGCAAGCAAGGTGGCGGAGCCCCAGCTCTGCTGGTCACTCCCTTGGTGGTAGAGCTGCCCTCAGGGAACACTCTGCAGGAGAGCTATCCCCTGTGGACTCACTGCTCCTGTGGCAACTCTCATATCATATCCCTTGGAACAGTAGCTCCTCCCTTTGCATGGTATGGAAAACTGTCCTTTTCCTGGGGCTTCTGGTTGCCTTGGCACATCCAAATTCCAACCTTGCTTTAAGTTAGGAGAAAAGGAAGCTGCCTAACAAATTTGGTGTCCCTAGCTCTTACTGTTTAGGGGGAGTTCTTGAACAAACGGACTCTCAGACAGACACACAGACAGACGGATGGACTCTAATAGATATATAGATTGAAAAAGAAGGAAAAGCAATTAAAGCATTTGCAATACAAAGTGTTAACTAACACTTTCATTTTGATAATATTCTTTGTTTCCTTTCCCCTCCAGTGAGCGTCTGTTCAATAAGAAAGCCCATCTCAATCCCCCTTCTCCCAGTTTTGGAGAAAAGAGAAGTTAGTGGAGATAGGCTGGAGCTGTTCTTGAGGCTGTTGTTAAAATCCAGTCCTGTTGGAAGATAAAATATGACAAACACAAAAAAGTGGGGACAGCAAAGATAGAAAATGCAGCTTCTGACTTGAGTAAATACATAAAGAAAACACTGCATTTGGATCAGAAGCTTGTTTTATCCCTATTAAAAGAGGGCAGATTTAGGCACAATAAAGTGACATTCAGCTGCATGTATTTTGCTTTTATCTACTACATTAAATGCTATGTGTGCAATAAGCTTGGCCTATCCTGGCTTTGAAGCATGTGACAGCCTAATGCCTATTGGTGCAGAAACCCCCTACAGAGCAGAGTCTATAAAACCTTCTACGGGGAAATTCTCACCAGTTGTCATCCTAGTCAGAAATGGGGATGTGGTTAGTCTGGTGCACAGCAGCCCTGAGCTTCTTTAGTAAGTTCTTAATGAAGAATGAAATCCCTATTCTAGTGTTTGCAAAGTACAGCTCATTTGTTTCTTGTGTTTTGTCTCACAGGGTACACAGGTGCTAAAATCACCCAAACATCAAGCCTGGTACTGAACAGAGAAGAGGCAGCCAAACTGACATGCAGGCAAACTGATGATCACAGCTATATGTACTGGTATCTGCAGCAGCAGGGGAAGGAGTTGCAGCTGATTTATTACTCCCTTGGTACAGAGCAAAGTACAGCTCATTTGTTTCTTGTGTTTTGTCTCACAGGGTACACAGGTGCTAAAATCACCCAAACATCAAGCCTGGTACTGAACAGAGAAGAGGCAGCCAAACTGACATGCAGGCAAACTGATGATCACAGCTATATGTACTGGTATCTGCAGCAGCAGGGGAAGGGACTGCAGCTGATTTATTACTCTGTTGGTAAAGACACGACACCAGAGGGTGACAGTAAAATAAAAGGATTCTCAGCCTCCCGGCCAGAGACTGCAGCTTTTGACTTGAACATCTCCTCTGTGAAGCCGGAGCACTCAGCTGTGTATTTCTGCGCTAGCAGTTTAGACACAGCACTTCAGAGTCACCTGCTCCCTCTACAAAAACCTCTGATCTCCCCTCCCTGATGCCTTCTTAAAGGCTATGTCGACACAGCAGCGTTATTTCAGAATAAGCTATTCCAGAAGAGGATTTCCGGAATAGCTGATTTCAAAATAGTGCATCCACACTGATTGGATGCTGAATCGCATTTAAGGCCTCCCGGAACCAGTTCAGGCAGGGCATCAGGTCAGTAGTTTCTTCGTGTGCTGCTTGAAGCTATCTGAGGCTCATGCTTAAATCGCCCCCCCTCACCAGCCATTTCTCAGCTTTCCCTGCTTGCTTGCCTACCTCCTTAAGGGACAGCAAAGCCTTTTCTCTTCTTCCTCTGGTTGCCTTGCTTCAGCACCCTCTGCTTTGGAGTCAGAACTGCCTCCGGGCAGTTTTCAGCTCTTGGAGCTTTGGCTGCAAGTCATGCAGCACTTTCTGCAGGCTGCCTCCCAGGATCTGCAGGAACCCAATCCCCAGTCCTTGAGGCAGCCCCTCCTCAGATATGTGGGGGAGCTGCGCCAGCTGCTGGAGGCTGCCTACCCTGGCCTGGATGTCATGCCCCACCGCATCTTGTGTTTGGACACCTGTGCAAACTGGTGGGACCACGTCAGTCTGGAGCACTGGGGAGACCAACAATGAATCCAGAACTTCAGAATGAAGAAGGGCACCTTCCTTGAGCTCTGTGAGTGGCTCGCCCCTGCCCTGAGGTGATGAGACATGGACGTGAAGCCCACCATTCCCCTCCAGTAGTGTGTCACCATCACCCTCTAGAAACTTGAGGTTTGTTTTGTTACCCCAAAATTCAATAAGGTCCAGGATCTCCACACCAGACCGGGAAGGTGCATGTCACTTACGGTCCCTGGCAGG